GGTGCCGGTCCTACCTTGAGGCTCTTGGGCTGCTGCCGGACCTCCATGACGTGCTTGCGCCTCAGCTCCCGCTCGCGCCGCTTGTTGTACTCCAGCTGGTTGGTGAGCTCCGTCTGGTGCTGGAGGCGGATCAGCTCGCAGCGCATCTTCTGGATGGTGCCCAGGTGCCGGAACTCCAGCTCCTGCATGGACTCGTGCTGGCGCAGCAGCATGGCGTGCTCCAGGTCCTTCTGCGTCTGGCGCTTGTTCAGCTCCTGCACCCAGGAGACACATGAGGGTAAGCAGTGGGGTGACGAGAAGAGCCTGCCGCCAGGGAGCAGGCCGCCCTGGAACACGCCGGGCCGGACTGGGCCTGCCGCCGGAGTGGGAAATGCATGGGGGGGGGTGGGGCGGGGTGGGGAGCTGCCTGGGTCCCTTCAGAGCACAACCAGAGTCTGCACAGGGAGCTTTTCTGCTCTGGCAAACGCTTGCCTGTTCTTTGGAGGCAAACCGGACGCACCAGGGACAGGGAGACTTCAGGGCCCGCCCCAACCACGTCCAACCCTTGCTTCACAGAAGGCGAGGGAGGGCTCGGTGGCTGGAAACCCCTCCCTCTCCTCCTCCTTGCGCACCTCCCGGACCAGGTCCTGCTCCAAGTTGTGGCGGGCCAGCAGCATCCTCCTCTTGAAGCGCCGGCACTCCAGCTCCAGGTACTGCCGCTGGCGCCGGAGAAGGTTGGCCTCCTCCTCGGCCTGGAAGTGCTGGATGTTCTCCTTCTGCTTGGACAGCCACTCCTGCTTCTCCTTCTTGGGGGTGCTCTGGTTCTCGTTCAGCTCCTGGAAGGAGCAGAGGGAGACGGGTTTACAGCTGCCCCCACCACCGGGGGGGGGGGCTCCAGGGAACAAACCAGCCGGCTTGCTTGGCAGGCGGAGAGGGAGCAGAGGAGAGTCCCTTATGCACAGCACAAGGAGCCTCCCAACCTCCACAGGCTGCAGCAGATCCCAGCTCTACCCAGGAGGAAGCCACTTTGAGAACACAGCGTAGCAGGCACGAGCAGCGCCGTTGTTTTGACAAAGAGAGGTAAAAAGGAGGAATGTAATAATTGAGTCTCAAAGGAGCAGAGCACCTTTGCTTACAAGCCCCGAAGCCTTACCGGTCCTCCGGACATTCCAGACTTCAGACCCTGTCGTCCGCCCCACACAACACGGCTGGTGGCCCATTGAAGACTGCAGGAGCTGCAGCTCAAGACACCTAAACCCGGGAGGCCCCTCACCCTCTTGCGCTGAGGAGACGGGCTTCTGGAGAGGCGCCCACGGGCCCTGAACTGAGCTCTCCCCTGCTCCCCCCCCTCCGCTTGGACCAGGAATCACCTCTTTGAGCTGCTCTTTCCGGAGCTTGTACTCGCGCTTCTGCGACTCCAGGAAGCTGTTCAGCTCTTTCTTCTGCTGGCCTTGAATGTGCTGCTGGAACTTCTTCTCCTCGTTGGCCATGACTTTTGCCTGCAATGCCAAGCCCAGGAGAGAAGAGCAAACATCAACATCATCATCTGCCTCATCCACGCAGGCCTACCTCAAAGAATCCCCGCAGAGGCTGCAGGGACGCTCGTCCTTTTCGGCTTCCACCGCAAAACCAGGACAAGAACAAGGACAGAAGCGATGCGACACGTTGGAGACCGACTGGCTTTTCCTCGGCGAAACGGAAACGCGCCTGTTGGCTTTAACGAAGTCACAAAGCTTTTGCCTTCGTTCCTGCGCTGGGATGTGGTGTTCTTTCCAATCCCATGCAGGAGGCCCAGTTGGGTTCTGGAGGGAGTGGATCAGAGACATCCCAGCACCCTCTCCTCACAGGCCAGCCCGCCCTGGGTGGCTCCCCAGCCGGCTGGGAGGAAGCGGCTCCCTCTTACCTCTTTCTCCGCGGCCGCCTGGTGCTTCTTGAGGAGCTTCTCCCTCTCGGCGGCAAAGCTGCTGCGCTGCGTCTCGAGGTCCTTGTCCAGCCGCAGACGGTGCTCGTCCATCTCGGCCTTGAGCTTGTTCTCCAGGGCCATGAGCTGCTTCTGGTGCTGCCGCCGCATGCGCTTGTAGCCGGACATCTGCTCGCGGAGCTCTGAGTCTTGCTCGTGTTCCTGCATCTGCCTTGTCACCTGCACGGAAAAGGAACGGGTTGGGTGGGCTCCGAAAAGACACCGTCTTTAAAGGGGGAGGGCTCTCCCACCAAACTATGCCAGCGGGGAAGACGTTGTTCTGGAGATAGCGGGACGGGGCTCACTTTTGCCTGGGACTTGCCTTCTTCACCCTTTGTGAAAGAAAATTCTGTCTGGCAACCCACCACCAGCTCAGATGGTGGTTGCACTTGCGACCCTTACACCTTTTGGAGGGGCTGACCTCTAACCTGTCCTGGAAGTAGCCAACCACAGAGCACCTACAGTTTTTTTGTTCTCCTGTTCATAACTGAGCAAGGACAACTAAAAGGGGGGGGGGGCTCGTTCCTGACATCTGGGCCCGAAGGACATCTCTGCACCTACCGAACCTGATCCATTTCCTTTGGGCCTCCTGGAGGCCTGGCTCAGACTTCCAAATGCCCAACCCGGCCTTGAATGACTCTGCGAAAGGGCAGGGCAGGGCAGGGCAGGG